TCTTCGTTATCACAACGGCATCAAAATCATCAGAAACGCATACCCACGCCTTGTACTCGAAAGAATTTTCTATACTAGTATCATTGTAAAGAAGTTGTGCAAGAGTTGTCTTGCCAATTCCTCCCATGCCAATGATGGGAATCACAGAAGCTTTATTGTGACTACTATCATTGCTCGAAAGCAGTTTAAGCAATTCTTTCTTTTCTTCTTGCCTACCGTACACCTCAGTTTCATCCACCAAAGAAGTAGGCTGAAGCCTTTGTTTCATTCTATCAGACCTTGCTCCCTCATTAACGACTCGCAATTCCAATTGAGTTCTTTGTGTGGCCAAATCATTCATTCTAGCACCGACTTTTTTAATCTTGGACATCATCTTCTTATTATCAAACATGAAAGTAGGAATGATGTTTTGTACCTTATTTTTGATGCCTTGAGGTTCCTCCAAGGATGTCAGCTTGCGCCCCAAAGCTTTAGTGGCAAACTCGTCCAAAATATCATCAACATCGTAAGCCAAGCCTTGAAGATCGGCCAACCAGTTGTTCACATATTGATTCTTCATCTGCTTCGCCTCTGCATCATCAAGCACGGCACGGATATCCCGCAGCGTGATTTCCCACTTTTTGAGCTCCTTGCGGACCCGCTTTTCAGTGACAAAGTTGAGGATATCAGAAGAGGATAACTTGCCAAATAATCCATCAAAGAAAGCCGTGAGAGCAGCCTCCCCAACAACAGATAACATGATTGTTTTGCTTAAGAAAGAAGGAGAGAAATGAAAATTGGAGATTGAAGTATGTGGAAAAGAGACGTATTTTGCTGTGTGAAAAGTTAAAGAAGTTAGTTAGGGTAGCTTAATAATGAAGTTGGGTCTTTCGAAGAAAGACTCCATGGCCATGTCGTTTGTTGGAGGCCAGCGGCAGTGATGGAAAAAGACCAGGAAAAACCTGGCACGCGTTTATTCGTCTTCTTCAATTTTGTTCTTTAAATTCTTTCTTCTTTATCTTTTTGAACTTGCTTAATTAATTTTTCTTCGTGGATGGAGCCCACACGGTTTTGCGGAAAGCAGAAGGAAACGTGAAATGAACAATTTTTGGTACAATTAAAAAAATTCTATTTAAATCAATAAAAGACAAAAGGTTGACAAATTTTACGATAAAATCATATTTTTTATTTTATTGTAAAGTCAATTAATAAACACTATCATATATTAAATTACAATCATTAATTTAAAATTTATAAAGAAACTAATCAATTAATTCAACTGATAAACAAAAAATTCTTTCTTTGATGAACTCTTTTTATGCTTTATTAATAGAAATAATCTATTTACATTTCTTTTATTATTGATTAAAATTTTATATTATAAATAGCATTATCATTATAATAAATTAAAAAATTAAAATAAAAAATATATAATAATAAAAATAAAACCATAAGCAATTTAAAATTATCATTAAAAAACTTAGACATAAAGTTTTTAAAAGTTATAATTAAAAATTCTTAACGTAAAGCAATTACTATTGACATAAAAACAAGCAAAGTTAGAATAATTAAATTTAAAATCTTAACATAAATAAGTAAAATTTAACATAACAAGTCAATTAAAAAAGTTTAATTTTAATGAAAAATTAATATTTAAATTTATATTCTTGAACTAAATTGTTTAACGATATACAAATTTTAAATATGTGAGAGTTAACTTAACAAGTCAATTGAGTAAAAAAATTCTAATTTTAGTAACAAATAAATATTTAAATATATATT